AGAAAGAGAAAGAGACAGAGAAAGAGAAACAAAAAGAGAGAGACAAAGAGGGTGAAAGAGGGTGAGCATTAGAAATTGTTTGGCAGTGGCAATATTCTCTAGTGAGAAGCATCAACATGCTGACATAAAAATAGTAAAATTGAAGTGACTAAATATTAGTGTTTCTATTCCCTTAAGACACAAACCTTAGCAACCTAAAGAAATTTTGATTGAAGCAAAAGAAAGCTAAAGAGAGGAAAGAAAAAAATAGGAACTGAAACAATATGTGCAAGATATTTCATTAGTATTTCTTACATATTTTTATTTGAATATAATTCTTCCAACAATCTTTGGAGTGGAATATTATTGTACTTATCTTTTAAATAAGGAATTAGAACCTAGGTCAGATGAAATAAGTTCATACAGCTAATAAGGGTAAGACACTTTTCTTAGTCTGTTTATGATGCTATAAAAATACTGTAGAATGAGTGGCATATAAAGAAGACATTTATCAATAAGTCGTGGGAGGTGAAAAGTCCTCTGTCAAGTCTTGGCATAGTCCGTGTCTGGTGAGGTCTCATTTCCTCTGAGATAGATGTCATTTCACTATGATGGGATATGGAAGGTTTGTAGCATCCCTCTAGACCTCTTCAACTAGAAAGCAAATCTTATTTGGAGAGTGGCACTCTTGTACCTGAATTGCTTTCTAAGGACTCTAGTGCCTAATTCTATTACCTTGGGGTCTTAGAATTTTATTGCATAAATTTGGACTGTACAACAAATCCTCAAATCATTACTGGCCATGTTGGAACATGTTTGTAATTCCAATGCTCAGGAGGCCTACAGAGAGTTTAAAGCCAGCCTGGTCTATGTAGTGAGTTCAAGGCCAGCCTGAACTACATAGCAAGATGTTCTTTCAGAAAAGTTCAAATTATAGCAAAACTCTATCTTAGGATGAGCTACATCTTTATTCTATTTGCTTTTCTGCATTACCTATATTGTCTCATTTCCCTGGGATTTTGACATGTTGAAAGTAAACATTATTACCCTCATTTCATGAATAGGAAATAGGGTGAGTAAACTGGTATTTTTCTATCAACATCCCACAGGCACGTTTTGCTTTACAATAACATTTTTAATGCTACAGAGATGTAGACAAATTGAAATAAATATCCATCTAAATAAATGTACACCTAAGTGAAAAATTAGTGAGTTTTCCAATCAAATGTTGTAAATTAAGAAATTTTTCTGAAATACTTTTAAGATATTGTGTTCTGGTGTTGTGTTTATTTTCTTTTTCTAATGTCAAAATATGAAATTGACAGTACCAAAATTTGTTATTGGTGTTTATAATATCATTGTGGTCACTTATACACAATACCTCACATATGAAATTTAAACAACGAGAGGTTTAACTTGGCTCATCCTTGGGGGGAGTTCAGTCCATGGTCACCTGGCTCCAAGACAGAAACATCATAGAGAAATTGCATAGCCAAGCAAAGATGTGTAGCTCACGGTGGCCAGAAAGCAAAACAAGGAAACAGTACCAAAGAACAGATTAGGGATCATATATATTACCCAGGTTTATCACTCATGACCACCCAGATACACCCAGGAGTATGCTTCATTAATCTGCTAGGCATTCCTTAGTCCAAAGAACTTCACAAATATTGATCATTGGTCACTGTTCAATTTTATTCTACTGTAAAATAACAGCATCCAGGGTCCTCAGTCTTTATCAACTTACCTACATTACTACAATTAATAGAATGTGGAGTTGAGATTCAGATCTACTTTGTGCATGATTTCACAGCCTGCCTCCACATTACATTAGTACCCTTAATGATACTAATATCCCAGTACTAGCGTCCTACCCATACACTTACAGTAACATGTCCTGTTTTCCATGCACATAAGTGGCTAGAAGAACTTGTCTCCACTACACTGTTTTATTGTTTTTGTAGTTATAACATTTTGTTAGGTTCATGGCCAAATCTCTGAAGCAAATTTGATCTGTGTGTGTGCACATGAATGTATTTGTATGCACACTTGTATGTGTGTATGTGTGTGTGTGTGTGTGTGAATGTGCTACTGGTGAAGATGTGTGAGATAGTTTTTGATCACTCTAATAAAGATGTGTTCCTGGCTCATTTCACTGAATAAACCATAGGCCCAGCCATGCCCCTCCCTGAGCCTCCTGTATAATTGATGGGTGAGCTGAAGATCAAAGCAGCTGAATGTGTTCTGTTTTGTGATCAATCTGCATATTTTATTACTTGAATTTCTAGATTTATGTATTTTAATAATCAAGTTGAATATTGCTTAATTGAAATGAAGGAAGTGTTTTGAAGACCAGTGCTAGCCTTTGTATTCTTTTATGCAATTCCCCAGTCTCCTATTTAGAATTGTTTGTTTCAAGACAGAAAATAATTACTTTGTATAATTAATCCATACTTCACTATGCCCTGTTAAATCTCTGCTCTCCCCCAAGTAAAACTATATCATTTAATTGTACATGCGTGTGGGGAAATGATATCTGAACTTTTTCCTCTAATAAGTAAAGGCACTTTAGGTTCAAACTTATAATCAAGGAAGAGCTTAAGTTTCAAGGCATTGTTCCAAATTACACATTACCTTTTTTATTTATAGGTGCTTTGACCTATAGGACAAGGCACACAGATGAGTAATACTTGTTTGGTATTACCTAAATAGAATATGTAGATGGGAATATATCAAGTGAAAAGAGATACATCAGCTATATCCTTAATCAAAGGGGAAAAGGAAGAAAGAGAAAGAAAGAACCAGAGAGGAAGGGAAGGAAAGTGAGAGAGAAGGAGGGAGGGAGGGACAGAGGGAGACAAAGAGACAGGCAGAGAGAGAAATGGGGAAGAAGGGAGCGGAGAAAGAGAAGGAGAAATAGCTAGAGGAGTGTGAGTATAAAACAGAAGCAGAGCAGTAGGAAAGCTGGATGTGGGGGAGGAAGAATGATCTAAAGATTGATAAGAATAAAAATAATTGCAAGTATGGCCAGATATGCAAGTACATAACTAGGTTTTATTTGTTATTTTGAAGCCAACAAAAATGCCAAAGCGTAAAAATAAAGCTCTTTGTTGCTAGGTATGTAGGTCAGGGGCACAGCACCTGCCTGACAAGAGTGACATACTGAGTTCAATTCCCAGTACCCTTCCAAAAAACTAAGTAAAACACTTTGTCTCACTCTGTCACTTTGTCACTGTGCTTTGACATTTGACAATATTTTAAGGTTACTGTATTCTATTTCTGTCTCATGAGTACTTGAGTAATTATGTTATTAACATCGTATATAGTTTCCAGTATATGATCTCAAAGTTCTTTCAATAAATTTCATAAATATCATCTTTATAATTGGAAACGTTGTACCTTCCTAGGAGGCAGCTTTCTTGCTGCTGTAACAAGTTATCTGACCCTCACATTTGAAGGGAGAGAGATTCACTGGGCTCATGGTTTCAGAAGATTCAGTCCACGACTTGTGAACTTATTTTCCAAGATATCTGCCTCAATATATTTTTGACAGTGGCATTGTAAAAGACAGAATAGAGTTTGAGAAGAGAGAATATTCCAGTGCAGCATGCTGAAGCCAAGAGAAAATGTGTATTTTATTTCTGTTTAACAAAAACAATTATTTACCATTTTAATTTCCATTTGTAAATGCTTTGGATCAAAACATTGTGACATTGTTTTTCAGTGTTAGGAGAATGGCATTGCTTGAATGCAAATGCATATAAAAAGCTAATATAATATTTGTTTCCAAACTATGGACCACACAAATCACTATATAAGCAACAACCATTTCCAATGTGTGTTAGATATATATGTGTCTCTGCCATGGTAATACGAGTAGATATCATGTAAGTTTATATATATATATATATATATATGTATGCATATATATATTGCATTATTCTAGATTCCTTGCTATCTTTTAATCCTCACAAAAATTCTATGATTCTTGTTTCTTTTGTATGTTAAATACATGAAGAGTATAATGCATAGGCCCCAAAGAAGTGAATTACAGATGACGAGTTTGACAATAAGTAAGTGAAGGAGTAAAATCGATACCTAGTGTTCTGATTACAGAACCTGTACCTTTTATTATCTAGGAACTTCATGCATATTATTTCAATTCATTATCAATTATTTTTTATAGCAAGAATTACTATCCCCTATAGCCTTCTTTTTCTGGTGTTTGGATAAAATAATTAATAACCTCAAATTAAAGAAAGAGAGAGATTTAATTTGACTCATGTCTTTAGTGGGTTCCGTCCCTGATTGTTTTGTTCCAACAGAGAAATGTCTTGGTGGAAGGGCTTGGCTAGGAAACGCTTCTGAATGCAAGGCAGATAGGATACTGAAAAAGAATGGAGTAGCTCAGAATGGAGATAAATGACCCACAGATGTGGCCCAGTGACAAGCCTCTTTCAAACAGGTCCCACCTCCAAATAGCGCCTTTCACCATGAATGCGTCAAAGGATCAGTCCACTGATGAGCAGAATGCCCACATGATCCATCACCTTTCCAAAAGCCCTTCCTCTGAATACATGAGATGTTAGGGGACATATTAGATCTAAACTAGTATGCCACCACTCTATACATTTTGTAAATAAGGGATTTCTAGTCTGTCTGCCAGGTCTCCTTCTTTGTGAGGTGTATGTTCTTTCTACCAAAAGCTACATTTTCAGTGCACATACCATATTAATTATTTAAGTTTGGATGCATCACAGATATAGTAGTTTTATAATCTTTCACTTTAACTTTTTATAGTGAAAGAGCTTTTCATAGGAATCGAATGTTTTTGTAGCAGCAGATTGGAACAAATACATCCGAGATCTTACATCTGAACATGGAAGTTCAGGCTTTCACAGGGAGTATATGGGGAGGATTTTGTGCTATTTATTGTGTAGCAACTAATGGAAAATGCATCATGGGAAGCATTCAATTTCTTTGTTTAAATTAACTGATCTGTTTGATTGCTTCTTTTATAGGAGGGAAAGACCTGTTCAATGGAGCACAAAGAAAACCCCTCAAGAAATGCCACTGCAGAATCAAAGCCGGTCCCACAGGTAATTTTACTTCAGTTTTATTTCTATAATGTCAAAAAAAGCACTGCTTGGGTCAGTCGAATCGGTGCATTCCTGCCTTGCTCTTTCTTGAGCAGGACGTTGTTCTGGCCAGTCCAGGACAGTTCCTTCAACCTAGGCCTCCGTATTTTTGCACCCCAGTACCTCTGTACTGCTAGTAATGTGTTCGGTTCAACAGTGTGAGCCTTTCCTCTTCTTCTACCCATCTTAAATCAAAAAGCAAAAGTAAACTAAACAGAGGAAAATAAAACTCATGAAACAGAAGAAACTGAAGAAGATTTGGGGAGGTGGAGAAACTGGGAAAAGTATGTATTTTCAATACTAGCAAAAAGCAAGCGCAAGTCAGGAGCTCAATTCTGAATTCTCATATATACTATTTTGTCAATACATCAAGGTAATGCTTTGCAAATATTGTCATTAAAAGAACTAATGTATTTGTTAAAATGAATTAGTAAAACTTGTTTTAATCTTTGAAACTAGGTTTGTAGGTGAGATTCATCAGAATTCAGTGACTTGGTTACAGTTTTCACAAAGTTACCATAAGAATTTGCCATTTTAGACTAAACACTTCTACACAGCTTCATGCACTAGAGTACTTAACAACTTTACTTATGTCACTTGTGTCTGTTGTTACTTTTCTATGAGGTATTTACTGAGATGTGTGAATTTTAATTATTCTGCTGTTAGAATTTGCACTTTCACCTTAAAATTGTTCTGTTTGATTCCTCTAATTATCTCCTCTGTATTGTTTGGCAGAAATTACAGATGCCCCCTTGTTCTGAATGTGAGGTCAAAACAGCTCCAGAAAAGCAGTTAACCAGCTTTGAAGGCACGGCACCTAGAGAAGAAAAAATACTGTAAATACCACAAAATGGCTTTGAAAACATCCATTTGCTATTACCTTCATACTCTTTTTAGACTTGAGGCTTGATGGGAATACTAAGTTTGTAAAGCATGCAATTTTTTTTCACAATTTTATGTAACTTTATAAAGTAGTCCACAAACTTTCTGAGAGATTCCATGCCAGTTATGTTCCTTAAGCAATAACCTACTCAAAATGGATTTACGCGGTCATAAATATTTTACTGTCATCATTAAATTGCTAAACATAAGTTGGTGTATTTTGAACTAACGTGCAACATAATACTTAATTCTTCTTGTTCATTTGGATGCCAGTATTTCTGTGATCTAGTTCTTGAGATCAGCTGGAGAGTAAAATGTGGTTGGTCCTCAGTATTCTTAAAATCTAAATTGTAACCACATCCTAAAGGTTTGGGGCCATACCAGTAAATTGGGACCATTATCCTTCAAGTTTGAAATTTTATCTACCTTAATATATTATTTTCTTGATGGTATTCAACATTATTCTTATGATCTTGAACTAATGATAATTTAAATTATGACAAGACAATTCTGACAAGGATTTAGTCAGTTAATAAAAATCATTGAAAACATTTGGAATGATGTAGAACAATGATTGGGATTTTCTTTTCTGTATTCTATAGTCACATCACCTATGTATACTACCGAAATTATCCTAATTTTGGAATTGAGTTGTTTAAAATGCTGAGAGTGACTTTTAGAATGAAGTTGGGTCACAGAACACAGTATAGGAAGAAGAATCTAAACTACAATTAGGCAAGCTGAATATATATATATCAAAAATGGGCCTTTGATGAATACAAAATAGCTTTCACCCAGTGAATGTAGTATTATTAAAAAAACCTGTTGTGTTCATTAAAGCAAATTAGTGAAGTTTGTTTTAATCATTGGAACTAGAATTCTATGTAAGAATGTCAAAAAATAACTTCACATGTGGCTAATCTATATATGACTCACCATGGAAAAAGACTTAATAATTCAATATATGATAGAATCAGTAGTGTGTCAAAATTCAAACTCAAATTAATGGATTAATAGTTAGAGGTTATTTGTAATGAATATATTCCCTTCTGTTGTTTAAACACATGGAATAAATGCAGAAAGCATATAAAATCATTGATTTTACTGAATCAATCTGGTAGTTATAAAAAAACTCCTTTGTGCCAGTGTAATCTACAAGTAAATAACAATAAATGAAATCTGTAATCAATATGTTAACTTAAATTCTGAGTTAGAAGGGCATACATCTGATCCCAGTGGAATATCTGAATCAATGTAATGACTGAGAATCAGAATGTGTCATCAGCAGTGGAAGGAATATTGTGTTATATTTACATAGCAATTCTACCCACTTAGTTCAAAATCCTGTATCAGTACTTTTTGTATAACAGCCTAGTTCAGAGAAAAAGAAATGTGACTTTCTAGCTGATCCACATAGTTTTCAGATGAAGAACAAGTAATCAGGGAAAAAGAAAATAAAGATATAGCCTGATTTCGGCTGAGACTTTCCCAGCTCTCCAAGGTGGGAATGTTATTATGCTGTGGATTTCTAGTTCTCCCCTGTCTTACTAGATGCCCTGAACACTTCCAGAGTTTTACAAAGGAGAAGCAGATAATTTCAGTATAATGTAGGTTTACTTTCGCAGCCTGCTCTGGCCCTGACTTTTCTCTTAACCAATGTGGTTCCTAGGAAGAGTCTATCACCACATTTCCACAACACAGCCTGATTTGAGAATTATTATTCCTTTTAACAATTAGGTACATAAATGAATATTGCTTTTGGGAAATTAACATCTATACCCCAGCTATGCACATATACAAAAAGCATTAACCAAACTGATCATAGTATGCTTCTATTATGTACATGTAATGATAAACATTAAAGGACTGTACATTCTGGAGAATGTGAATCCCTATCAAGAATATAAAACCATCCTTCCTAGCAGAATAACTTGTTTCAATATAGGTACCACAAGAAGTAAAAGAAATGTAATTTCTCTCTGGTTATTTTTAAATGTTGATTAAATACTACGTATTCATTTCTGTGTTAGAAATTTAGTTTGGATTTTGTCTTATTGTATGCACATTAACTATGTAAATCGAATCAGTGCCTAAAATGTGTAAAATCTAAATGAATGCTGAATGCTGACTTTATCTATCCAGTGCAAATATGCTCAGAAGAAAAATGAATAATTTCACTCACACATCTGGATGTGGTTTTATTATGTAATCTCAAATACCTGGATACTGATAATACTAGGTGTTCAATTTTTTTCAGTCATTCAGCACATATTTTGTATCACAATTTTATTTCGGTGACAATCTTTTTTTATAAAACATTCTCAGCTACAGCTTCAAAAACAGTAATACATATGTGGAGGAGACAGTTACTGCTTTAGATGGACAACAGAGGTTGCTGGACTCAAACAATATTTGTGAACTTTGCTATAATGGAATCTTTTATTTTTATAGCTCAGGTACAGTAATTAGCACTAACTACAGCAGAAACTGAGGTGAATATTGACACCGTAGAGTAAGTCCAACTGGCCGGATTTAAGAGTAGGGCAAACATGTACTTGTTTATTTGGGGGACATTTTCTCACTCCTGTGTATAGTCTTACATTCCCCCAAACTTGTGTATCCATCTGGATTGTGTTATGTAATTAATGGTCACGTGACGAGGAATAAAAAGTGCTGAAAGATGACCTATTTTGTTCAATGAATGTTTGTTCTCACAACTTCAAGGTACGTTATTCTACAGAAGTTAATTCAGAAAGCAGTTACCAGCATTCCAGTAATTCTAGCTTTGGGGTTTTGAAATTTCTGCCTAGAAATTTCTTCAGTCACTTTGACGGTGTCTCAGAAATATATGTATCTTTAATTTAGAGTGGTTTTTTTAAATAGAGTTCACATGACAGCAGGAAATCTGTCCTTCTGTTTTTCACTTAACTTTTGTTCAGGACTGACAGGTAACTTCTGCATATATTTAAGGGGTACAATGTCATGTTTTAATGTAAATATACGTGGTGGAGTGATCATATCAAGTTAATTAACGTATCCTTGATCTCAGAAATTAAACTCAAGTGCTTAGAAGTAGCTGGCATATGGATTGTATGCAAATATTTGTTGAATGAATTAATTCAGGAGCTGAAGCGAAATGAGAATAAGCAAAGCAAATAACCAAAGGATATTCTGCTCTGACTACAGAACCAAAAAGCAGTCTTTTAGCAAAATAAAAATGAATATTTTGTGGTTTTGTTAGTTCTGCTCTTATGCTATTTTGCTGTTGCCTTTTTATTAAAAGTCCATGGACCTCTGCTTATGATTTTAGGCAAAGGAGATATGGCGCTGTTGGGTGGATTTTTAAATGAATCTCATTGCAGTAATTGGCCACAAAGGCCAGGAATATGTCTAAGAAATCACTCATTAGACAATCTCACTGCTGTGTGAATAACCAGTGTTCACACAAAAGCCTACTGTGAACACCTTTAGGCTACCTGATGTCAGCTACTGTCCCTATGCTACAAGCCTGTACCGCAGGTGGCTCTACTGAATACAACAGGCAAACGGAATACAATGGTGAGTATTTGTGCCTCTAAACAGAACTAAACAGACTAAAAGTATACCATAAAAATAGTAGGTGATAATCACCCTCAGCTCTATTAAAATGCTATAGGACTGCTGTTAAAGAATTCCGTCACTGACCAAGTCATTGCTGTACAGTACCTGAGGGTGTATCACACAGGCTTGAGTCTTTAATTGGCATGCAGCTGTGATACACTTGGACACACACTGTTATGGTTTAGATGTAAAATGCCCTCCCCCAGTCTCAGGTGTTCCAAAGTGGGCCTTTTAGAAGAAGATGGGATAACATGTGAGTGTTACACACCAGGGGATCAACATACTGATGGATTCAGAGCTAAATGTGCTATTAGACGGTAGAGGCTGGCCAGAAGAGGCTGGTCCCTAGGGGCACAAGCTAGAAGAGTGTATTCTCACCCCTGACCCCTCCTTTCTCTCTCTGCCTCCTGCCGGCCATGGGGTGAGCATCTTTCCTCCCCCCGGGCCCTCCTACCATGCTGTTTCTGCCTTGGAACGGCCCCCCATAGACTGAACCCTCTAAACCTGGGAGCCAAATGAAATCTCTGTTCACTGACGTTGTGGGTGTTGGGTATGGCACCCTGGAGATGGGAAGGCTGACTGATACATGCACAGCTCACTTACCTGTACGTGTAGCTTTAGTGTCCTCATCAGCTGGACTGAAATTAGGGATTTATGATCCATGAACTTGTCTGATAGTAAAAGAATTTAAGGTTCTTGAGGAGATAAGAGAATATCCTGAGGATGGCACTCTGGATTTCTCAATTCCTTGATGTTTGATGAAGAAATAAATTATGATTAAATTTCAACAGGAGTTTGGGAGGGAACTAATACCCAGACAGTTCTGTTGTATCACCTCAGACAGTTGGCTAACCTCTTGGTGTTTCACTCTTTCCTCACATGCACTAGAAGCAACAAATTAACATATTTCAAAATAATGACAGCTATTTCATTTAAGTACTGACTTCGAGTATACAGAAAAGGCATAGAGAAAGTGTCTAATAATAGCTGGTGGTTTCTAATGCAATGATATCTACGCATTTTTAAATGCACTGACATGCCCAATATAAAAATACTACTTCTGTTTTAAAGAAAAGTGCATACATACAAATGCATTTCAAAGGGCCCAGTAAGAGTTACGAGGCATGTGGAGTTGGACACATTCAGACTCTGTTTCTCCTGTGTGTTAGGAGGAGTACCTGTGCTGAATGAGTAGAAGGTATAATTCATCTTGCTTCCAAAGAAACTATATTAAATTTTTATTATTTGAAGAGAAAGACTGTCTTTGTGTAGGCACTGTTATGTTGAATACATATTTTTAAATGCATGAATTCAGATCTCTTGATTATACTTTCAAAACTCCTGCAGAATGACATCGAGCCCTTCTTCATTTAGTCACTCAGTATTATCATACAACTTTCCTCCTAAAATTATTTAATTTCTGCCTGCTCTGTGAGTCATAATATTAACTAAAATTCTGAGGTTCTGTTTATTTCCCAGTCATTTTATGGAATTGTAATTATTTTCCCTTTTTTTCTGATTTAATCTTATTAAAGAATGACAGATCTGGGCAGTATGAGAAATTTATCATAATTTTGACATAGTTCTGAATAACAGGTTGTTTTCTTCTCTCAAAGTTTTAAACATGGAAGAGGCCCCAATACTAGTTTTACAGGGGCTTTCAAAAGACTAATAAAATATTAATCAAAATGAATCCTCCTTTCAGATTGTGTGACATAAATCCTTCCACACACATTCATTACTTTTTGAAGTTACAAATTTTTATCATTTTAGGATGGAAGCATTCACTTTCTTTTTCAGCCTTTATCTGTAGTTCAAAACTTTTTCTTTTCTTTTCTTTTTTTTTTTTTTTTTCTGTTTTTTTTTTTTTCTGGTACCAGGAATCGAACTCATGACCTCATACTTGTCAGGCAGGTACTGTGCCACTGAGCTAAATCCCCAGCCCTAGTTCAAAACTTTGAAACATAGTGGGCTTCTTTATGTCCTCCTTCTTTCTCTTTCTTCCTTTTAATAAAGAAAAGTAGGTGAATAGACCCTTTTATGATGTGTCTTTTTTTTTTTTTTTGGTACTGGGAATTGAACTCAGGACCTCGCATTTGTCAGGCAGGTGCTGTGCCACTGAGCTATATCCCTGGGCCTTCCTGATGTATTGTGAAGGTTTTTTTCAGGGTATAAAGGTGATCATCTCTGTGGAACAGTAGCCCCTTATAAAATCTGGAATTAATATAAACAACATACTCTTTTTTTACAGATATGTTACAGTTTGAACTGTGGTCTTCTAATGTCCATTTGGTGTTACCTGTTCCCCAAGAGAATGTCCACACTGATTCTTTAAAACATGATATGTAATTTAATATGTAATACATATGGAGCATAGAGAAAGATAGATGATCGATTGATAGATAGACAGATAGATAGATGATAGAATTCTCAAGATACCACACTGAACACTGTATTTTAAAAACAAAAAATCTCATGTTAGCCTATGAAATCATGCTCTGCTTGGCCTCCTATCTACCTATTTGGCCTCTTTGCTACCCAGAGTCTGGAACAAGAGAGTTCTCATGGAAGGAATGAATGAACACTTACTCTCCCCAGTGATAGTGGTGCTTCCCTCTTGTGTCCTGAAAATCTAAATTGGAAACCACACACACACAGACACACACACACTCACACATACACACACACACTCCCAAGGCCATGGCAATGTTTTTGAAAATGAGCTCATGATCCTTTGCACTGACAGAATTATAACCACCCACATACCACCCTCACATTCAAATTGCCGTGAGATACAGATGTAAACAAAACTCTTTTGAAGTCTAATAGGCAAGAAGCAGAGGTAAGTCTTTTTCTACATCAAATGATGAAACAGCGTGAAATAAACACAGGAAGCTTTTAAAAAAATCAACAATTTTTTATGGTGGATAAGTTCACCAGATCACAAACTAGAGTAAACCAGTGCTTTAGATGGTTTACCCAAGTTACCTGAAACCAGACTTTGGAACAGAAAGCGGAAGCCAGTGTGGTTACTTAATTTAGCTACAGTACACACTGTGCATCTAACCTCAGCTGGCTTAGCATCACACACAGATTCCTGGGCCACACTAGAGAATTACGGGACTGTGAAGTTATGCAAACTACCGCATTTTACCAGACAGTAGGCAGGGCCCCTTGTCTCTGTAGTTATTGTTCCTTATGTTTCATAACTGTTCTGCTTTCCTCTTTCATGAAATCTTTCTAGTTCTACACATCTGCCTTGTTCTGAGGTTTTTCCTTATGGCACAACCATCAAGGTCTTCATGACATTATTCTTCACCACATGTCAAATGCTGCAGCTTTTTAGCAGAAGCAAAGGCATTTTTCTTCACGTTTCTGTCCTATTCCTTACACAGCAATCAATACGTAAGACTGGGTCACCCAGTTGGCAAGGTAATGGCTTTGTTTCACCTTCCGGCCTCAGTATATAAAAATACTGAGCATGGTAACCGATGGCTGATAATGCTGTCATTATCCTCACCACAGTAATCTCATTGGTTGCCAAGCTGAGTAACAGTAAGGGAATCTCCATAGCAACAGCACTTCTTGGATGGTACTGATTTCATTATTTTTATGTCATTGTAAATTTTTTAAACCGTGATTTCATTTGCTCCCTTCTGGGTAGGAAGCCTTGGGATTTGGCAATGAAGTTTAGGCTTTGCAGAAACTTTAAGATGCATTTTAGTGGAGAAATAACAAGAGTAGCTATCATGAGGTAGAGGAAGCTCAGAGAGAGAACAAGGTGTGTGTGCAAGTTTCCTTCCCCGTTGTCAGAGAAGGAGCTGTGAAGTCACAGGTTGGATACAGACAATCACTGTGAAAGACAAAAGTACCAATTTTCAACATGTAAGTAATTAAAGACTTGGACTTGAAGCATTTCCTAAGTGCATTAAACCATTAGCTCAAGTCTTTGTCTGGCTTTGAAGTCAGAAAGGGAAGTTGGATGGAGTTCAGTGCAGGTGCTGTTTTTGAAAATTTCACGAGTAACAAAATCCCCAAAATGCCCTTTTCTCCCTGATCAGGTTCTGAAAGAAGATACTAGATG